ATGTCATTGCATTATTATGCAAATATCATAAATTTTATTATAAAAGAAAATATCTATATTTTTATTAAAATACAATAATGTTATCATAATGTATTTTATCATATCACAAGAAAAAATACATTAAGATGTTTTATCTTTCAATATCTTCTATGTATTATTTATTATTATTATTATTATATTATTATTATTATGTTATTATTATTATGTGAATATAATATGATATTAAATTTATAAATATTGCTAATTTTAATAAAATAAAATAAAAATATAAAGATGAAATTAAATAATATATTTGATATATATATATATATATATATAAAGTGTGAAGAGATCATTTTGTAATTTAAAAAAAAAAAATATATATATATATATATATAATATTTAACATTAACTTTAAGTTGTAGAAAATGTTATATAATAGTTTTTCCAAAATTATATTTAAATAAAAACCTTAAACATAATTTAAGATTAGATAACACATATTAAGGTTAATGAGATCATTTTTATATTATTTGTCTTAACATGATATTACGTATACTTTTAGATAATTTTTTAAGTTTGAGTAGTTAAAGAAGTTGCAAGTATTTTTTATTTTCTTTCTTGACTTATAATATGAGTATTTGTTTAGTAACATTCTCCTAGCTTTATACACATGAGTATTCCTTAATATGATTTCCTAAGCTTACAAATATTTGATGAGCTTGTTTAAGATTTATAATCAAAGTATTATTTTGTAAGTTTCTACAAGTTTTATACTAAAACTGTTTATAAGGGTTAACACCAAAAGAAGTATATTAAAATTCCACATCAATTTGATATAGGATCAAATTATAGTATACAATTAAGTTATGAATTCCATCTTTAAAATCGATTTTTTTAAGATAAATCTCTAAATGTTCTCTCCAACTTAGTCTTATAGCGATGTTATCTTCTAGGTATTCAATGAAATGTATTATAGACAGAAGTCCTTTATTCAAGTGGAAATTGCAAAATTTAGTAGATGAATACATGATACCCCAAGTTTGCTATTGATTTGTTTAGTTTTGAAGATATGTTTACATGTCACTACTACAAATAAGGCTTTCCACGTCGGTTCGGAAGGCTTTCAACGGCGGTTCTAGAGCCAGACGTTGTAGTAAGCGACGTTGAAAGTCGGGACTTTCAACGTCGGTTCTATTTAACCGACGTGGAAAGTTAAAATAAGACTTTATTTATAAATACAAATATATTTATATATTTTGATATATTTATATAATTATATATTTATATGTTGGATGTGAGGGCACGCTCGAAGGTGAAAGTGTGTCGAGTGAGTTTTCAAAATTTGATGTCAAATTTGTGAGCGAGTCTCTTTATATGGGTTTGTAATTTAATGACAGAATATAATATTTATAATTTATTAATGATATAAAATAAATATGAGAAACGCATCATTCGCTCAAGCGAAAAATACCAATTTTCGCTCAAGCGAGGCTTGAACGAGTGAATTTCCGTGAGTTTTAACGTATTTTCACTCAAGCGAGAGTCAATCTCACTTTCACCCTCGAACGCGCCTTCACATCCAACATATAAATATATAACTATATAACTATATAAATATATATAAATATATCAAAATATATAAATATATTTGTATTTATATATTCTATATTTATATATTTGCACGAATATATATTTATATGTATATAAATATAATTTATTTGTAAATTATTATAAAAACATTATAGTAGTTTAGTGGTTGAAGTATCAATTTTCAACTCTAAAATACTGGGTTCAAAAATCCTGTTAGTGACAATTCTCTAACTTAAGTAAATTTTTGGTTGAAAAAAATAAAAACACTTTTCAGAAAATATATATATTTACACGGATATATATTTATTTATATATAAATATAATTAATTTGTAAGTTATTATCGAGAAAATTACAGTAGTTTAGTGGTTGAAGTATCAACTTTTAACTCTAAAATATTGGGTTCGAATCCTGTCGATGACAATTCTCGAACTTAAGTAAATTTTTGGTGAAAAAAAATAAAAACACTTTCCGGAAAATATATATAAATAAATATATATTTACACGGATATATATTTATTTGTATATAAATATAATTAATTTGTAAGTTATTATTAGAAAATTACAGTAGTTTAGTGGTTGAAGTATCAACTTTTAACTCTAAAATACTGGGTTCGAATCCTGTTAGTGACAATTCTTGAAATTAAGAGAATTTTTGGGTGAAAACACATTCAACGTCGGTTCATCCGGGAACCGACGTTGAATGTCTAAATTAAAAGACTTTCAACGTCGGTTCATCTAGAACCGACGTGGAAAGTGCTTTCTACGTCGGTTGACTAAGAACCGACGTAGAATGTGTCCAACATTCCACTTTCAACGTCGTTTTTTAACCAACCGACGTTGAAAGTGTATTTAACGTCGGCTCAGCTTTAACTGACGTTAAATGACGACGTTCAAAGTATATTTTGTAGTAGTGTGTTTTCATGCCACCATTTACTTACATGCTTTGTTTTACTTTTAATATTTGTTTGTAGGCTTTCATGTGCATGTATATATATGATTTCATTATGGAGTATTTCTTCAATAATTATCAACTTAACTTTTAATAATTATCAATTTAACTTTGTATAAAGTCCACTTAAGTACTAAAAAAAACCTTTAATTTTCTTGATTAAGTGTTTTAATTTCTACATGACAACTTTTAGTACAAAAAGGAGCTTGTAGAAGGTCTATAATATGCTAATCCAATCCCCATTGTTGCACATAATTTTTTTTTTTATTCCATTTATTCACTGTATATTAAAAAAAATGTTCTAGTTAGAAATCAATTGAAAACCAATTTTCATCACCTATTTGTCTATCCTTCTCTCATTTATCTCATATTGGCAAAAATAGGATCTTTATTTTAAAATATTAATTTTAAACTCTTTGACATTTGAAAAATATACACACTAAAAATTTAATTGATGATTTTTCATGTGAAATTTTGATTATGTGAGGTAAGTATAGATTTATCATGTGATTTTTTTATTATCTTGATGTAAATAATAACAAATTTTAAGTATTTGTTAAAAATTGTTTCTAACATTAGCAAGTGTGAAGATATGTATATAATCGAATGAATTGGATACGTGATGTGGAAGGAAATTCCATAGTTTCAAATTGAATATTTTGGGGTTTTGTTTGTCAAATTGTTTCCAATATCCATTGATAATGAAAATTTATTGACTGATTTTAAAAAGTACCAACAAATTTAAGAGTCAAGAATATATTTTTTTATAACGACCTTCTCTATACTCTTAAATTTAAAATATGTTTTTATAAACTAATTTTCTCTTTTAAAATAATTTTGTAACATTTTCTTTAATAAATATTGGTATAATTTATTTTTTAATGATTACTTTTTGTATTAATTAAAGAAATTTATGTCTTCAGTACAAACTAAAATTTGATGTCTTAAAATTTTTTAAATTTCATTTAACTAATTTTTTGTTTTTTACCAACAAATAATTTATTATAGTGATACGAAATTTGATTCTCTTGTATAAAATGTTAGGTTTAAAACTTATAAATACTCAATGTGGAATCATATACTCTTACTAATTGCAATCAACTAACATAAGGGGTTGAGAGACTACAAAATCGTCTTCAACACCTTCAAGTGAAGAAAGGAAAAGATTATTGGGAATTAGCTATATCATTCATTGTGATATCTTCCTTTGCTTAATTAAGTTTTTAATCTTTAATTATTTGTATTTATTCATTTACTCTCTCGTTTTAGAAGTTTTGAAATATGTCCCTCGTAAAAAATATTACTAAATGATTGCTTTAATTTAGTTTTTGATTTAATCCTTTTGAGTTTTTTTTAAAGTACCTCCAAACAGGAAATTAAATGGCAAAACAATTCACTATATAGTAAAAACAAATGAAAATCTCGTAATTAAATAGAATACCGTTAAGAAGATCAATTAAAAATAATGTTATTCAGAGAAATTTAAAAGAAAATTCATAATATTGTTTATAAACCTAACTTAATTGAAAAGTATAAAAGAAGCATTTAATAAAAATATTTTATGATACATTTTTTTTGAAAAAAAAATTAGAAAAAAAATTCCAAAGAAGCAAAATCTTAATTGAGTTTTTGGGCTTGGATCAATCTTTTTATATAAATTAGAATAATTTATATATAAATTAATTTTGAAAAATTTTCCAGCATAGCTTTTAAAAAAATATTTTAAACTTGTAAAAAAGCTAATTTTTAGTTAATGATTATTTTATACTATTTAATTGTTTTTAAACACAAATATTCTATTGCTCTTTATATATATATATATATATATATATATATATATATATATTTAATGCGTTTTCTAAATGAGTTATTTTTTCTCCCCAGCTTTTTAAACACAAAAATATAAGCCGTTTATCTAAAAAAAACTTATCTCATTTTTATTTGTTTCATTGTTCGTACAAGAACTTATTTAAAAATATATGAATTTGATGTCAACATGTTCTTTTATTTCCATGTTGTACTTCGATTCTCACAATAATTAAAGGTGACCAGCTAGTTTCCTTTTACGAATCGTAATAACCAAATCGAAGAATCTTGCTGCATTGGTTCCGTCCACACAAGGAGACGAGAACAAGAGAAACCGGTGAAAACAATTAAAAAGTCACCGTAAAATGTAACTCCAAATAAAACTATATATCTCATCACACTTAAAAGAAAAAAACCATAAAAACTGTAAACACAACTCAAGATATAAATAGTAGCACTTCAACGTACTATTCTCCATCATCATCATCGTCATCATCCACTTCCAATCCATTTCCCACTCTTGCAATCTATCAATCCTTTTCCTCTTGCCATTTCGCAAACATGCGTCCTTTTGAGCTCACATTATTAGTCTTCTCATTTTGTAGTGTGTTCTTGGTTGATTGTAAAAACCTGATGGGTTTTAGCATTGATCTCATCCCACGCCACTCTCCCATGTCCCCTTTGTACAATTCTCGAATGACCCAAACCGAGCTGGTGAAAAGTGCTGCTATCCGATCCATTGCTCGATCCAAAACTACTTGACTTCATAGGTCAAAATGAACCATCTTCACCGCCACCACAGTCACCACCACAATCACCATCATCCTCATCGGTCGAAAGTGCCATAACTCCTGTTCCTGACCATGGGGAATACCTCATGAGATTCTCCTTAGGTACCCCAGGTGTTGAAAGGCTTGCAGTTTTTGACACAGGGAGTGATCTCTCTTGGGTGCAATGTTCCCCTTGCAAAACATGTTACCCCCAAGATGCTCCTTTATTCGATCCAACCCAATCTTCCACGTACGTGGATGTTGCATGTGATTCACAAGCATGCACTCTGATTCCCCAAAACCAACGTGATTGTACGAATTCTAGGCAATGCATTTACCTTCACCAGTATGGTGCGAGTTCAATCACCATAGGGAAATTGGGCTCTGACACCATTAGCTTTGGGTCCACAAGCATGGGCCAAGGTGCAACATTTCCCAAATCAGTTTTTGGAGTGGTATCGTGGGCCTTGGCCCAGGCCCATTATCACTAGCCTGACAACTTGGCGACCAAATTGGCCACAAATTTTCCTACTGCTTGGTTCCTTTTAGTTCAACCTCCACTGGGAAATTGAAATTCGGGAACCATCCAACACAAGCAGCAACAAATGGGGTTGTGTCCACACCCTTTATGATCAACCCTTTTTTACCCTCGTTCTATCTCCTCAACCTAGAGGGTATATCAATTGGTCAAAAAAAGGTGTTGACTGGTCAAACTGGTGGCAACATAATCATTGATTCAGTGCCAATATTGACACATCTTGAACAACGAATTTACGCCGATTTCATGAGTTCAGTTAAAGAAGTGTTTAAGGTGGAGGCAGCAGAAGATGCTCCAACCCAATTCGAGTTTTGTGTCAGAAACCCTTCAAACATGAAGCTCCCTCCGTTTGTATTGCATTTCACAGGGGCTGATGTTGTGCTAAACCCAAACAACCTATTCATTGTCGTGGACAACAACATGGTTTGCATGACAGTGGTACCCACCACTGGAATTTCCATCTTTGGAAATTGGGCACAGGTTGATTTTCAAGTGGAGAGAAAAAAGCTTCTTTTGCTACTACCAATTGCAGCAGCTATTAATTGCCTTACACTATCTTCATAAGAGAAAGGTTATGTGTGCTTTGCTTTGTAGTCTTTATTTAACTAGTTGGGAACTCTTCCCTTTGAGGTGTAGGGTGATATGTAATGCCTCTACTTATTTCTACCATACTCACAATTGAATTTTGTGTTACTTATAATTTATTTAAAAGTTAAAATTTAACTATGATGGAGAGAAAAAAAATAACATAATGAGGGAGAGGAATTGTTCAAGTTTTGGATGCTACATTTTTTGGAAGTAACCAACAATCACTTTAGGCTCGTGTTTTCAATTAGGCTTTCATCACCATCAACGTACGTTCAAATTAATAATTGAGTCAAAGGTGATTCATAACAATTCTTTTATACATTACCTAGTGGAAGTAAAAAAATATTTTTAATTTTCTATATTTTAAAAAAAATCATGCTTTAAAAAAATAGTCAATAAAAATATATTAGGCTATATGAAGATACAAGCGTGATTATTTTTATTTGATTAACAAAATAAATTTCTCATAAGAAAGAGTAAAATTTTATAGATTAATAGGAACATATACAAATTTTAAAGTAAGGTTTCTCCTGCGATTTTTTTCTTCAATTATTGCAAAAAATTGAAAAACTTTTGAAAAGTTGGACTCAATAATTTCAGGAGAAGGTGCACAAATTGAAGTGTTTGTTGAACATCAAAGCAAATATTCTGAAAACTGTCTTTGGGTATATTTCATGGCATAGCAATTTGCTCGAAGTCAAACGAAGAAACTTGTACTAACTTCTTGGTATGGCACAGCGCAATTCATGGACAATGGTTTTGGGAACAAAGTTTTTGAAGATTATCTTCAAAAGCGTCATTAATAATATTATTGATATAATATAAATAAATCATTTAGCACCACATCCAAAGCAAAAGGATCAAATAGAATAAAAAAATAATTAAACAAATTCTTCTCCGTAGTCTTTTCGATTTCGTTTAATGTACAAACTTGTGTTATAGTTGCTAAAAAATTGGACATTGCTTGAGCATAAAGTTCGGAATTCATGAATCGTGGAAACATCATTTGATCAAAACTTGTATTTTTTAACGAAAACAATAAATTTAATTAAAATCGTTAGAATAATAAATTTAATGCATGTCACAAAATATTAAGTGCATGGTTTAGTCAAAAGATTCGAATGCTGCATTGTTTTAAAATACGAGCCTAAGGTTAGTATGAGCTTCTCTTGAATGGATCTAAACAAATAATAATAGATTTTATAGTTCCCTGTTTTTAAGTAAGTTAAATAGGATGATGATTTAAATTGAACTCATTTTATCATAGCATGTGCATAAATAAAATATCAATTAGTATACTTAATATTTCTGTATTTTAAGAAAATATAATATAATTTGGATTGATGAAGTGCATGAATAGTATATTTCTTAGTTTGTTCTTCAAGTGTCTGTTATAGAGATAGAGAGATAATAGTCAACCATTTGTTTACGCCTATTAACTAAAAATTAATTTGTTGGTACAACGTTCGTTGGCATGGTTCACGAAGTTGCTTATACCTAGCAATAAAGGGATACTTGCTGAATACTTTAGTGGATTCTTCTTGTTTTAAAGTTTTTGGCAGTGTCAACTACCTCACATTAATTGCCCATTTATTCTTTATTGAATACTTTTTGTCTAGGAAGTTATACTAGTGTGGATGTTAGGATCAATCTCTTAATTAACACGCCACTAATAATAAAAGTCTCCAAGCATTTGCCAAGTCCTTGCATGCATCTGTACCATGTTAAATGCTGCTACAGTGATGGTGGTAGCAATGAGTTTCACCATCTCTGATCTGAAGTACTGCCAAATAAGAGAGAATGAAAGCAACCAAAAGAGTTGCGAAAAAGAGTTTTTCTTTAACAAAGAAGGTGAGTGAGCACATGGGGGAGATAGTAAGATACTTATCTTATCTGGTTAACGTTTTGAAAAGTATATATTAGTGATCAAGTAGTACAGAAGCACATGGCAAATGTATTGAAGGCCACTCAAAACATCCACACCAACTCCAAAATATATTGGGGTATAATATATATCACCCAAGCCAAAAAGTTAGAGAATACAGTGAAGATAACAACCCCATAAACAAAGCAAGAGAAGAAAAAGGGAGGGGAGGGTGGTCCTACACTCCCCTCTTACAAGTATCACACACAGGCTGTTAAAGGGAACCAAATAATGCAGAGTCTGATGGGTCACATGGTCTAGAAAGCAAACTGACACCACACATGCCCTTGCCTCCCAATTGCACATGCACGTGGTGACTGTTCCCTAAGCCTCCCACTGCTTAATAACACCATTCTAAACCTTTTTTTTTCTCTCTTATAATCACTTTTTTTCCCATTAATTATGCAAAGAAAAGCACACCCAAACTATCATTAAAAATTCTCACAACATCTCACAAATCAGAAAACCTTTTTGTCCTATCTAATATTATACACAACATTAACCGAAAAGTAAACTATTGTTAGCCACATTATTACATATGCACGATCTTCAGCATACATAATAATTCTTAATTTATGTCTTGAGCTCCTCAGGGTCAATCTCTTGTTCCTTGTTCTCAGTTTAAATTGGCTCTCTATTGGGATGACTCTATGGTACAATTGGGGCGAGCTGCCAATAGGGTGCACTGCAAGTGCCTGTGGCATGTGATTAAGTGGTCATTGGTTAGGCCAGCTGCCTGCATGAATGAATGAACCACTGTTGGGCCAACGAACCTGAAGCCCCTCCTCACCATGTCTTTGCTTATGCTCTCTGATTTTGAGGTCTTCACTGGGATCTTGTGACCAAACTTGTATTGAGTGGAGATGGGTTTATGATTCACAAACCCCCAAATGTACTTGTCAAATGATCCAAAGTCCTTCTTAATCTGCAATACCCCAATTTGCAAAGCAAATGTAAGCAAATACTTACGTAGAGATGATTAATGCAACAACGCAACAACGACGTTATTAACAGCAAATGAACAGTAAAGAATAATTTCTAGCTAGCAACTAAAGCTTTGTAATATATGACAAGATTGACATGGCAACCGTTGTGTGAATCAGCTCATGTGGGGTCAGGTATTAAAACTTGTAACCTATTGGAAATTTCTTGTCATTAGGTGCATTAAAGAGATAATAATAAGATGTAGCTGAACAAGTCACCTCACCATTAAAACTCCTTAACAATTCTGCTGTTTCATACTAGAATATTCCGTTAATCCAGCTCAAACTATTATTTTGGGGACACGAGATGAAAAGAAGAGAGACCAAATTAAAAGGAGAGATGAAAAGGGCACAGTTTTTGAGTTTGCTGACCTCTAAAATTTGGTTAGCATTATCAACCACTCCTCGGACTCTGCTTATGTCAATGCCATATTCAGAACTAATAGAGATCATTTGCTTATCAGTCAAGTTGGCCACGGTTTCTGCATCAAATTCTAAAAATGCAGCCCTGTACATAATTTAAAAATATTAGTTTCCTCGACCACCAAAAAAGTTCATAAAACTGTGCATATGAATGCCTTTTAACAGAATCCAACCTGAAATCTAGGCGTTTCTTCAAGGTTGAGGTCCAATCAGATCCAACTTGAGCACCGCTTAAGACTAAAAGCTCAAACAACATCCTGGATGGAGAACAGTAATTTTGTCAGTCATCATTATTAGTTTCTGAAGGTGTGACACTGTGATGTGTTTGAAAGAGAGAAAAAGAAAGAAGCGGTGGCTTACTTGTCATCATGAACTGGAACTCCCCATTCCTCGTCGTGATAAGCAATATAGATGGGATCTATTCATCAAAAAGAAACATTGACATCAACACATTTTTTTTTGCCTTTTAAGATAAAGCACCATTCACTCAGTAATATGAATTTGTAATAAAGTATGGAGAAAGCTAAGATTTTTTTTTTTTTTCAATTATGATTAGAGTTTTCTCCCAGTTACTAATGTTAATATTTAATATAAACTTTTATTATACAGATGCAAAACTCCAGTTCTAACCCAAACTCCAATTTTAATCAAGAACAATGTTAAAAATACGTAATTAAATATTCAATATGAATTACCTGAATTGGCTGTGATAAAGCTGCATCTCTTCTCCTCCTCAGTTGGCTTTGATATGATACTAGTGGTTGAAGGATCAAGAGGAACAACTCTTTCAAACTTAGCAGACTTTGATCTTCCATAATGGGCAATCTTCATTTTCCTTTGTGCCTGCTGCAGTGCCATCTGTTCCCTCCTCACAGCTGCTATGCTCCCTGGGGAGTCAGTGATCAAAGAGGAAGAGTAGCTGAGTGAAGCCTCTATAGAGACTGACACACAGGACCCTTCCTTGAAGCTCTTGGACTTCTTTCTCTCCAAAGTTGGAGCTTTAGAGGAGCTTTTTGGGATGACAATCTTTTCATAACTGGAGTTCAGTCCATTGTTGTCATTCCCTCTCTTCACTGCAGGAAGCCTTGGGGATTTTGACTTGGGAGAAACAGGGGGTGTCAATGAGGTCTTGCTTGGAAGAGGTGGTGATGGTGGAGAAAGTGACTTTGGTGGTGGCACTTTCTTGATTGAATTCCTCCTTTCAAGGTTTGGAACACGGTTGCAAGTTGGCTGAAGGACTGGCCTTCCATTGATTCTGGCCACTGAAGGCAAGCCAGTGGTGGTAGTAGTAGCAGCAACACCCTCTATGCCTACAGTCACTTTGGCCTTAGAGCTGCACATTTTGGTGCCTTGTTATGATATGAGTTAAAATGGAAAAAGGGGTGTGTTGATGAACAAAGAAGAGGACTAGTAAAGGTGTAATGGCAATGGCAATGGCACAATGAAGGAGGAAATGAAGGTTGTGTTGAGGAAGTGAATTAGGAGAAGGAAGGGAGGGTTATGGGGTTTTATAAAATGTGGGGAAGGTAGGACAGATAGAGGGAAGTTGTAACATGGGGAGGTGGGGATCTGCCATACAACCTCTTGTGAGGGGCATTACTTTTTGCAAACTAAACCACGAGGGGTGAATGTGACACGCGCTTCTAACTTTTGCCACTTGGCAATGTCTCAAGCTAATAATTTGTTATCATTGCTATTACTGTAATACAATTATATATAAGGTTTTAATTAGGAGAGAATCAAAGAAGCTTGTGTGAGGATTCGTTGGGTGGGATATTGTGTTGTGCCTGAATCATATCATGCATGTATCAACCATGTAAAAAATTTCTTACATTCCCAATGAAATGTTGTAAATATTCAGTTTATGTGTGGCTTCTTAAGGGGTTTTAGTAGTGTTGGAGTGATGCATAAGAAAAGTCCATTTGCAAGGAAAATGACCAATCATTGGAGATGTATGTGAGAATGAAAAAGTGCAAAGGGACTGTGGTAGAGAAAGTACATGAGATGTTTAATAAGCAACATTAGAAAGTGAGTACCCAGAACAAAGAATTGAATTGAATTGAATGGGGGTGCTGTAGCACAAATATCAGAGATATATTGAGGCCATGTGAGTAACTGTTTGTGAGTATGCCACCAAACTTGGATCTTTTGATATGATATGGGTTGGGGTGGTAATGTATTAGAGGTCAGGGACTTTACCTTGAGAGAAAGAGAAAAGGAAATACTGAACAATTCTTCTTATCATTCATGATTGGAATACATGCCCAGATAAGGGAAAATGATAACAATATCGTAACAGAAAGCAAGGTAAAGAAATAACAAACATAATAGTTATCCTACAATGGGACGGCACCTCTTAAAAGATGTATATTAGATTATGGAATCTTGGCTGAAATGGTTCATTCCAATTATTATATGTTAGTCTAGAAAATATCTTGTATGGATTTTCATTGAATAAAACATCTCTCTGTTCATTTATCATATAAAACAAGATTTAGTGGACCAGTCCAATATATATGGATTTATATATTTTAAAATAATAAGATCTATCAAATATTTTCAATTTTTTTATCTATAATTATCTATTTACTTATTTATTGGATATTTTAAACAATTAATAAAGAACAAGATAAAGATTAATTATTTCTTATTTTGTTTTAATATTTTCATGTTATTACCTCAAAATACCAAAATAAAGTAGAAAATCAAGAGTAAAAGTTTTTATAAATTATATTTGTCTTTGAAGATGACTCATGGATATATTATGGAAGAGTTTGTTTAACTTAAATTATGTTTAGGTCTTTATTAACTCTAATGAAATTAAATTATATCTTCAGTGTTAAATATTTTGGGAAATTATTTTTTTAATTTTGTAACTTTTATATATATATATATATATATATATATATATATATATTCTAAAACTTAATGATATTAAATATATTTATTTATATATTTATAATTTATTTATATTTATTTATAATAATATTATTTTACAATTTATATATTTTTTAGACTTAAGGATGATTAAATATATTTATTTATATATTTATAGTTTTATTTTCTCTTCTTTTCTTATTTTTTTAATATTTAATTATAATAATATTATTTTACCTTCCAAAAATAAATGGTATAAATAGGTTTTTGTGTCTAATAGAGTTTTCTTTTTCTCCTCATTATTGTATTCAGTTAATTATATAATCTTGACATATGAGTGAAATATTTAAACAACTCATTCTTACCGTTCCAACAAATTATAATAGTGAATCAAGTGTTTCATATGTGTACATGCAAAATTTTTCTTCATGACTCAAGATATATATATATATATATATATATATATATATATATATATATATATATATATCTTTAAATCTTAAAGATTTTTTTATTATATATTTATCATAAATACAAATTTTCACATATTTTATATTTATAGATTAACGAGACCGTTGAAAGTTTGACATCGTCTGTATTGTATATATACGATATAATTTAAATATTTATTAAGTTACTTGTTGTATTGTCTTATAACCTTATTGACCACAAACAACACTTAAAAAATCTATCTCATCCCTTTCGCACTTACAGTGACCGAAAAAGTAGAAATTATATCCATCAATATTTTAATTCTGGTTTCAGTAAAATATCACATAACAGTTTATATTTATTATTTGTTTATCAAAGTAATAAAGTCTCTTTGTGTTTGTTGTACATAAATGACATTTGATGTGGAAATAAGAGAATCTGAAACATCAATTTCTTTGTTAATTGAACGAAATGTCATAAGGCTTTACACTCCTTCATTGTGGCTTGTATATCTTTTCAACTCAACAGGTGGATCTTGGATGAAAGCGCTTGTTCAATTTTTTGCACATCATCATTTGATTCCAAAGCATTTTAGCGATTTTCACTCGACATCAAGGTCTGGATTGACATATTAAAGTCAAGGTTTGGTATTAGTCACTCCTCCATGGACACAATCAAAACATGAATTTCTTTCTTTCAATAACCAAATTTTCACGCTTTTTATTTATAGTTTTACTGAAATTTAAGTGTATGTTAGAGTCTCACGATGAAATGTACTTTGTGATTATTTTGCAGATTAGACTTAACACATTTTCTGATGGAACACTCTGAAAGTGAAATCATTGGCATGTGTTAGAATCTGCATGGAGTTATCTTGTCCGTTGATGAGAGATATTGAATTTATGTTGCATTCACAGAAAGCAGACACAATTAGACGCCTAACCAGATTAGTTTTTGATTCATCAACCACTAATGACAAAGTGTCGTGGGATTAGACCTTCCCACGTTCTATGCTCTCATTTTCCAACTTCTCACTCGTCATCTATGAGTTTGAATCGACCCGATAAAGCTGATTAATTTGAATTATAGTGAAAAGAGAAATTTATAGGTTCATTTAGAATTTTATCGTTGAATTCGAGTTTTAAAATTTTAAATTCAACTCAACTTATATTTTTAATAATTAAGAAATAATCAACTTAATTAATTCTAGTATGGTAAGTAATAGAAATGAGATTGAACATTTAAGTGGACGAAACATTTATAATGTAGCAGAAAACGAGGAAAGGTATCTGGCTTTACAAAATTCCCTGCCACCACCTTATATTCCTTCTTCTTTTCTTTTTCGTAGTGCGCACTGATTATTCACTGACAAATGCTGTTACTTTTCTACTTACAAATTCTAGAATAACGTGCATCTACTGTTTTCTTAATGATATTTTTTTTACAAGCTAAAAACTTATGTTATTTTTCGTATATATTTAGAGTTTAGGGTTTAAATAAAAAAGTAATAGTACCGTTCTTCTTTTTTCCTTAGATTATGTATAATAAATCCTAAGAATAGCCTCTAGAGAGAGTACTACGTAATGTTTTTCCTCTTTCTTTTGGCTTGAATAATTATGGAAGCATATTCTAATTCTATGATTAATTGTTTTTTTTTAATGGTATTATTCTTTTGTTGTACATGTTGATGAGTTTTGCACATAATTTTTTCACTTTCCAAAATTAGGCCTCAACTCATGTTGATACTTTTGCCCCACGAATGCAACATCCCATGTGATTATGAAACGCGTCTTCTAAATTCAATAATTGTTGGTTAATAATGACTACAAAGATATATATATGTACATGGCAAAATAAAAATGCGACAATGTGCATGCCATTCCAATTCCTAACCCACCCTGGAATTCTTTGTTCAATTAATTTTGTTTTTCTTTCTTCGGATAAAAGGCACATGATTCTCATTTCGTTGATGCTTCCTCTTCAATTATTATTTGTTTTTTTTTTTTTTGAGTTGTATAATCCATCAACTCGTGTAAGAATTATTCCTTCATTGCTTTCATCGATCTAGACACATGCTCATAATTTCCCAGTGGCTTCCCATTATGAACTTATTATTTGGTTTTGATTCTTAACTTTTATTACAGCTTTTTAATGTTTACCTATACAGTTGTTTTTACTTGTTAGAAAGTTTCATGTTGTCTCATGTCGAATGATCGATTACTATATATTTTACGTATTATTAATTAATTTTATATTGAAATTTTGATATAGTATTAAAGTTAAAACTTAATTTTTTTTCTTATTATCTTGATCAAAAGTATCTTTTCTTTGATTTAATAGATTTTTATTAGAGAAAATATATATTAAAAGTCTCATATCGTATCTCTTATGTTGTGTGAAATAATATAGTTTAAATATCTGATATATTACTTAAAATATTATTAATTAGTTTTATATATATTAGAAGGTTAAAATATGATATTCAAGTTCATGAATTTTATTCCATATGAAACTTGAGGCATATATAGGTCCATACATAATGTCCCTTTTCCTCTACATGAAGCATCTTTCACTGTTGTTTGCCCTAAATGAAGTTGTGGGAGTGGGAGAAGAGCGTTGAGAACAAATGCAGGCTATTAGGGGCTGGCAATGTTGGAAGTACAAAGGGTGGATTATGTTGCGGTGGGGAATATTTAGTTGTCTTGCTCAAAACAAAAAGGATGTTATGTTACTTTGTTTTGTTATAAAGGGTGTTCATGATCCAAGAAAAATAAAAAATAAAAAAAATAACACATAAAGTACAATCCCCTGCCATAGCTGCATTATTTGTACCTTGACTTTGTACGTACGATTGTCTATTCCCCCATGCCTTGCTTTATCAAGCTACACACGAGAGCACAGTTAATTATTTGAATTTTTCCATCTCTCTCTCTCTCTTTTCTTATTCGAATTTTGGTTTTACACATTTGTTTTGGTGTCTTCTGCAGGGGAAAAGCACATGTGTTGGTGTTGGACAAATTATTGCCTTGTTTTTGCTTTGCTTCTTCTGGGTATAGTAGCTACGCAGTAACCAACCAAAAGCTCATGTATTTGAATTTTTGAAAATATTAATCATTATTTTTGTTTAAGGTTGTCACAAATTCAAATTCTGAGCTATATATGCAAATACTTGAAAAATCAGCTTCTGTCCTTTGTGATGAATAATACTTTAATTTTCATCATTATTACTAAATAAAGAATCATCTGAGTAGAATATAGAAGATAACAATTTCTGGTCCTCTTTCCTGGAAGCAAAGCAGGTTGTTGTATTATATAATAGTATTTTCTGTTCTTCCTATTGTGATTCTAAATTCACATCCTTTTCTGTTTATGCTTCAACTTGAAGCACATGCAAGATTCAAAACAAAGTGAATCGTTTTCTGACACATTCACCAACATAACACGATGTTATCATTCGTGCTGGGAGGAAATATCCAACATGTGTCCACCAATCACCATGAATCATCTTTCATTCTTTAACATCAACATATTGGACCGTTATTAGCGGAAAATATATACTGTGTCTACAATTTTTTGTTATCTTATGAAAATTAATGTTATATAAAATAAAATTATTAAAGTTTCTTAATTGTTTAAGTCTGTTATGCTACACTTTCATTCACTAATTCATCAATGGTATGTCAATTAAATTCAAATATTGAATAGGTATAGGGTTGTGAAAAATATTTTTAGTTAAAATATTTGTGAATCACACCTATTCTGGTTTGGTTTATTTAGAACATGAATTAAATTAGGTTAATTATTTTAAATAAAAATAATATTATTTTATTAAAAAATATATATGTATTATAAATTAATTTTATAAAGAATTCAATTATTTTAAAAATAAACATAAGAATAAATTTCTAACAACTTTATTTAAATATATAATAATTAAAATTAATTATTTTTTTAATTAATAAATTATTTAAAAATAAATAATAATAATAATAAAAAGGTAATTTTTAATTATTATTTTGAGATTCATCGAATACCTTCTTTTATAATTTATATATTAAATTATTATATCTTAAATAAAAAATAATTTTATTAATAAAATTTAAATTTTTAAAATATATTTTTTATTTTTATTTAAATATTTTTTAATCAATTAATTTAATATATATATATATATATATATATTAATATTTAAAAATAATTCAATCAGCTGAAAATTAACCTGTTAACTAACATAACGTCAAGTGAAACTAAAAACTTGGACTTCACGTTGATCATTAATTTTTTTTACTAATCCTCAGTTTCACAACTCTAAATAAGTATCTAATGCAGGAAAGCATTCAAATATATTTTTTATCTTTAACTTATTCTACTCTCATCTTTTTTTTTTTTTAAAATTTTTTTAGTGAATCTTTCATTTTTCTCATTCGATATCTTATCTTATTATTATCTCTAATATTCTCGTATTTTAATTCTCTCATTTTTAATTTTTACTCTCAATTTTGATAATTTTTTTAATTCATATTTTTAATCTATTTATAAATTTGTAAATAACAGACATCATTCATAAATTTCAATTTAAATTTTTTTAACTATTTTAAAGGTTATTAGTAAACTGACAAATTACTCAATTTTTCTGCGTTTAGCTTACAATGTGGAGAAAAACATTTCATGCTAATTTTTCGTCTTCTACAATAGCCATAATCAATTGAAAATATTGTATTTACATGTTCTAATTCATAATCAATATAATATTATATCGAACCAAAAAGTAGTATAAAAAACTTCTAAAAATAACTTTTAATCTATTAACTTTTATTTATTTAGTCATGGAAGTAGATTAAGAAACCCATCCAATTGATGACAACTGAAAAGATATTTTAAAACAGAAATTAAAAACATTAATAATCAGATAATCATAACGCTCAAACAAATTTTAAGCAAAAGAAAAGTGCTTTTAACGTAATACTATAAAAAATAAGATATGACGGTGCTTTTTGCCCACTATGATCCCAACATCCTTAAAACTTTCAACTAAGCATTATTAGTTTTACAGTCTGTACGATTTAAAAATTAGGTCTATAATTAGTTTTTTTTTTAGAGAAAGTATATAATTAGTTATTTAGTGTGTTCAGTAAATTTAATAATTTATAAGTTGGTTTGATTGTAGTTTATAAGTCAATTTGTTTTATATATGATTTTATTTTAATATTTTTTACTACTTTTTAGATACCACATTCTTTTAAGTTATGATATTCATAGGTATATAGCAATATTTTCCTTTTTAAGATGGTTTATTTTAAGTATCATTTTAATTAGTTTTAATTTGTAATTTTTTTTATCTTTGACATATTTATTTTACAATTTTAGAATCTCTTTTACCTACCCATCTTGATTATGAGCTTTAATGTCAAACTATTTATTTTAATTAGTTATTGTATTTAATTAAAATTTTAGTCATTAAAGAATATTATAGAAACGATAACTATTTTTTATATTAAATTATATTATTAAAATATTATTAGAATATAAAAAATATTAAAAAATTAATTAATTATTTTGTTTTGTTTTCATAAAAAGGAAACTTATCCAAAATATAAAAGAAAGAGTAACCACAATTTTCATTATTTTTTAAATTGATATATTTTTTAATATTATTTTATATTTATTAACTAACTTATAAATATTATTATTATTATTATTATTATTATTATTATTATTATTATTATTATTATTATTATTATTATTATTATGTTGTTGTTGTTAAATTAATTTGAGTTTTATAAGATGAATTTAATTACTAATATGTTTGATTAGTTGGTTTGTTGACTATTAGATGACTTGTTGATCATAAAAAAGAATATATTCATATCTATGATCTTGATTACAATGATATATTTTTTTCAATGGCCAAAATGACTAATATTCATCTCTTTTTTACTATGGCAGTTATTCGATATTATTCGCTTTATCAATTGGATATTAAAAATATTTTCTTCATAGTGATCTAGATGAGAAGGTCTATAGGGAGTAACCTCCTAGTTTGTTACTCAATAGAAGTCTAGTTTGGTGTCTAAGTTGCATCATTTTCTCTATGGTTCAAAGCAATCTCCACGAGCTTGGTTTGAAAAAAATTAGTTTTATTGTTAAAGCCTTTGGGTTGAGACGTAGTGAAGCAGACCATTTTAGTTTTCTATTGTCACACATCCCTTGGAAAATTTGTTTACTTAATAGTGTATGTGGATGATATTGTCAATACAAGAGATGATGTCACTAGAATATCCCAATTAAAAAAACACTTATGTAGTCATTTCCAAACCAAGGATCTTGGAAGTCTCAAATATTTCTTAGGTATTGAAGTGATCCAATCAAAAGGTGTTGTAATCTCTCAAAGGAAATATACTCTTAATATACTAATAGAGAATGGTTTGATAGATTGTAAACCTATGGATAGCCCTATGGACCCAAATCAGAAATTAATGGCAGTAAAGGGGGGAAGTTTTCTCTAACCTAGAAAGATATAAAAGATTGGTTGGAAAACTTATTTATCTTACTATCACTAGACCCAGTGGCGGATCTTGACCATTGATCTTGGAGGGGCCAAATAATATATTATTAATAAATAATAAATAAATATAAAAGAAAGTAAGAAGATGAAAGGGTGAAAGGATAAAATTGTAAATATATACTTAAATATATTAAATGATCATTAAGTTTGAGGGAGACAAAATCATAAATTATATGAGAGTTACAAAGCCGAGGAGAGGCTGGAAGGATAAA